AGTCTGTACTTAATTCTCTTGAGATTGATTCTGGAACTCTGAATTTGTGCTTCTGAAGAAAACTCTCAAACTCTTTGCTCTGGCATCACACACATTGTGCTGCATCTTTGGACAATCACTGAGTAGTGCAAGAACACAGCCTGAGCTCCCAGTTATGCTGTGAGGAAACTGTGAAGCTTCATCATACATCTTTCAGGGTAATTCTGATGGCCAGAGACAGTAAAACTAAATTAAACAGACTGCTGCAGTGTAACAGAGACTATTTTGGAGCCTATCTCCTAAAGCAACTTACGCTGAAGCCTCGTGGATTTCTGTGCCATCATAGACACCACAACCAGACAGGACCTGCAGTGAGAAAATCAAGAGAGTATTTCAGGTGACACAAAACTTCCTACAGGATCTTTCACAAGGTAAGATGAAAAGAAACGAACAAAAAGCATCAACAAACAACAACAACAACAAAAAAAACACCCTTCATCCCCCAGAAGAACAACTTGGCAACAAGCTCTTTACTAATCCAGTGAGCATGATGCTGTGAGCACTGGAGTCACCATTTGACACACTGCAGAACTGGCATTTCCTATTTATAGCAACCCATCACAGGGGTCAGAAATAACCAGTGTTTATTTCCTGGCTTATACATTTATTCCCCAGTTAATAAACTGACGTGTTATCCTTAGGTATGTTTTTACTGTGCACACAGTGGGTTGTTCTCACTGTCTTACATCTTTTTAATGAAGTGTCCACAGTCATGTGAAACAGCTTCTCATCCAGATGCTCATCAATCAGAAGTGGGATAAAAGTGCACTTCGAGGTGGCACTGAGCATAAACTACTTTACCTGCTGCTGTATTTTGTCTGAGGATCTGCATCAGAGATCAACAGCTAAATCACTTTCAGTGCAATAGTGCAATTATGCTGTATTAGCCATGCTTTTCCTTAATAATAATGGTAATAATACCTTAAATTTGTTTATACACACCGGAGGATAAAAAGCACAAACAATCATCTACCTCTGTGTGAGTGGAGAGTCTTTGACAAAGTAGAAAAAGAAAAAACATTTTTAAAAAAACAGGGGGAAAAACCATTATAATAACAAAATAAAACCAAAAAAATCCAAAGGATTATGTAGTTCCTGAAAGTATATTGATGAACTCTTGTGGGGTTTTTTTGTTTGGCTGTTTGTTTTGAAAGAAAAAAATCCAGTTAGGAAGTCAATTTCCTTTCCTCTTTTTTTTTTCTTCTTTTTCACTTTACTCTCTTCCCTCCTGGTTTTATCTCAGTTTTTTGAAGCTTGAAAGTTTCTAATCACAGACACATGAACAGAAACTCAGAACTGAAACTGTCTTAGTTAGAAATGTTAAAAATGTTACACTTGAAGGGGTTTTCAGGCCCCAGTACCCAGTTCTCTGCTCTCAGGGGTATGACATGCCACCACCACTTTACCAAATAGCAAAATCCATGAATGTTCTTCTGTCCATGTTAATCCTGTTCTGATATGTAAGAGCTGCCTTTGACTTCACAACCTTTTCATTTTATCTTTCATTTATTTTAAAGTGAAAAACAGGTAAGCAACTGTGCTGTAATTATCTTTCATAAGCAACACTTTTTAAATGTTGTTGAAACTCACTGAAACCGAAGAACTAAAACACTGTCCTTCTGTTATTTCAGTACCTTCTTCTTGCCAAATCTGTTTCCTACCTTAGTCAGAAATTTATGTCACTAAATGTCAAAAATAACATTTGTTTTCCCCTCTCTATTTAAAAAGCTGTGACTTGCTAAAATGACAGCATTCCTGGTGAGTTACCTGTTAGCCACTTGGACCAGCATTCTGCCCATTCCAGAGCCAACTCTCCCCCAAACAGATTTCTTCGTGCAGGTAATGCCTTCTTATCTCTTTATGTTTAATGCCATCTAGACTACACAAAGCTCAAGCTTCAAGGGCTGTTCACTGAGCTCCAAAACTGTGTGTCCATATGGGACACTACCTACAGCCTTGATTTTCCTTTGGCAACCTCTGGCTCCTCCATCTCCTGGCTTTCTTTTCTATATGTGACATGCTTTACCTCCTTCCTGCAGAACAGCACAACCCAGCCTAAATATTTTCCTGTGTGCTCTCAGGACCTCCCCCCGTCACATTATAAACTATTTCAAGCTCTCCTGGGCTCCTCGGTACAAGAGAAACCTGGAGTTGCTAAAGCAGGTCCAGCAGAGGGAAACGAGGATGACTGAGGGACTGGAGCATCTTTCGTATGAATAAAGACTGAGGGAGCTGGGGCTGTTCAGCCTCCAGAGCAGACCCTGAGAGGGGACCTCCCCCAGGTCTGTAGGGTCTGCAGGGAGGGGGCAGAGGATGGACCAGGCTCTGCTTCGGGGGAGCCCAGCAATGGCACAAGAGGAACGGGCAGGAACTGATGCCCAGGAAGTTCCACCTGGACATGAGGAAGAACTTCTTTGCTGGGCAGTGACCGAGCACTGAACAGACACCAGAGAGGCTGTGTAGAATCCCTCACTGGAGATATTCCAGAACCGCCTGGACACAATCCTCTGGGATGGCCCTCCTTGAGCAGGGAGGTGGGATCAGATGACCCACCGCGGTCCCTTCCGACCATTCTGTGGTTCTTTACAAACCAACTCCAGGCCAACAACAACTCCACAGACGTCAATTTTTACGCGTTCCCCACTCCTTCTCTGCCTTCCTCCAAGTTTCTCAGCTCTAGGCGGGTTTCTCTTCTCGAATTCAGCCTCTCCCGAGGGTTTCCAGCAGCCGCAGCCACCGGGCGAGCCTTTCCCGGCCCCTTCCTTGCACCCGCCCCACCGCCAGAGAGACACTCCCCCCCTGCAGAGGGTGAAAAATAAACCAACGCGCTTCTCCTCAGCGCGGCCCCCGCCGCTCCTCCATTAACTCACCACAGCGACGCGGGCCGAGCGGCGGCGCCGGGCGGAGCAGTGGAAGGAGGTGAGGCCGGCGGGTCCCGCCGCCCGCCGCAGAGCGGTGCACAGGGCCGGGCCGCGGGAGCTCAGCATGGCCAGGCGGTGGGAAGAGGGAGCGGAGGAACCGGGAGCCGGGAGCAGGAAGGGGGAGCAGGTCAGGAGAAAGCGGGCGCGGAAGGGCCGCGCTCCGAGGCCGCCGCGCCCTTGGCGGCGCCCCCTGGCGGCGCGGAGGGGCCCCTGAGGGCCCTTGTTCCCTTCCCGAGCCTCCTTTACTGGGAATATTTTCATGGCCGGGCTTCGCGAACGAAGATTAAGGAAGGCTCTATCCACATTTATTACAGGCACGCTGGTGGATAATGAGACCAATACGAGATAGACATATCCGATTGCAAAAGGCACAGCAGAAAGACTCCTAAGATGGTGTATTCCGCAAGACACGGTTCTTTCTGCGTTGTCTTTTCTCCTGGAGAGAAAAGATCCTGCGGGCGTTCTCAAAGGAGACAGCTGCATTATAGATGGTGTGTCTCCAGGCCTCCCGATTGGAGGCCAGAGTAGACCAGTTATGATGATCAATAAGGCCAAAGCTGAGATGTTGTTTCAGGCAGTCCTTGTATCTTTTCTTCAGGGCTCCTCTTTTGCGGCAGCTGGTGGCAAGTTCACCATAAAGCAAGATCTTAGGGAGGCAGTGGTTGGTCCTTCATCCTTGAGACGTGCCCTGCCCAGCACAGCTGCGTTCTCAGTAACATGGCCTCGATACTTGTGACTGCTGCCTGTTCTAGAACAGATGTATTGGTCACATAATCTGACCAGTGGATGTTTAGGATTGTACAGGGGCAGCGTTGATGGAAGCGTTCTAGGAGACGCAGGTGGTGGCGGTAGATGGCCCATGATTTGGAACCATATAAAAGAGTAGACAACACTATGGCTCTGTAAACACTAATCTTGGTACTTTTCTTCAAGTGTTTATTACGCCATACTCTTTTATGGAGTTTCCCGAAAGCACTATATGCCTTTGCTAACCTGTTGTCTATCTCCCCATCATAACAGTAAAAAAAAAACCCCAAGGAAATAAGCCCTTGGGACTTGTTTTGAACACAAGCCTTGCAGCAAGAGGCACCTAGGCCAGAGCTGTTAAAGAAAATGGGGTAAACAACACACACGGACAGCCACATTGCTGCCTCTCAGGGACCCTGTGAAATACTGGGGTTTAGTGTTTCTTTTACCCTTCTCATTTGGTTTTTACTTTTTCCTTCTTTATTAAGGACACCAAACTATGGACATCATGAGACATTTCCTCACTGAAAGCGTTGTCAAGCATTGGAATGTGCTGCCCAGGGGGGGTGGTGGATTCACCATCCCTGGAGGTGCTTTTGGATGTGGCACTTAGTGCGTGGTCTGGGTGACAAGGTGGTGATCAGTCAAAGGTTGGACTCGATGATCTTAGAGGTCTTTTCCAACCTATTTCATTCTGTGATATGTATAAGAAAGACAGTCCTGCTGAAATACACACAGACATCTCTATCTGGTGTCAAGGTGCAAGTCTACAGGTGCAGTCTCCACCTGCCCTGGAGGAAGGTAGGGAAAGCTGGATGCTTCCAAGCCTGGCTCCAGCCAACCTGGAGGCTGTCAGGCTCACAAACCACACCAACAAGCACAAGGATCAAACCAAACTTTGGACCCCCCAAATTTAAAACCTCATACTTGAGTTTTCATTATTCTACCTTTGACTATGGAAGGGCACGAGGGAAAATTGTATTTGCTTTCCTGTGCATCATAAAATTTGTTATGATTACCTAAAAGAATATTCTACTCTAAGAAAAACAAATCACTTTGCTATGTCTTATTTAAGTAGCAAGTGTATCTTTAATTTATACACTGAAATTTTACAAATTGACTGTATGTGTTCACTGTACATTTTGGACTCATTTTTCTCTTCAGCAGTTTTAATTACCTCTCCTCTACTCCAAAAGTGGAAAGTGACCAGAAAATAAATCCAAGAGAACAGAATATTCAGGATCTCACTGTTGTTATTAGTCAATTTTCCCACCAAGTCACAAAAAAACCCAAGGAAATCAAAATTCCAGATTTTAATGTGCTAATAAACAACATAAAAAAACCCAACAGGACAAGAAAAAGTTTTCATTTGAAAAAAACCAAAACAAAACAAAACACACATTTGTAACACATTCTCTTAAAGTTTAAATTACATTATTGAGTTGGCAATGTCCAAACAAATTTTTACTACAGTATCTCAAGGTTCGTAATTAAACCTCTACAAGATTTGTACATCACAGTAAATATTCTCTCATAGTCATTGCTATGGATGTAACATTTATCCTCATTATTGAACCTTCATCAGGTTTGGAAGTTAGAGAACTAAGAAAACTGTTCCAGAAATATGTAAATATTAAATTGAAGTAAAACAACATTTAAAACAAGTTGAGAGCAACAGATAGACCTCCAATTAAGAATGCTTTTTAAAAAGGATTAAAAAAAAATAGTCCAAGACTGCATTACAAAACTCACAATAGTTAATGTATAAAGCATTTTTAATAAACTTCTTCCAGCCGTACTTTTAACTTCACTAAGAACACTTTTTTTCCTTGCTTGAAATCAGAAATTATTAAAAAAAAAAAAAAAAGAAATCAACAAGAAATCAGTGCTGTCAAATTTACAGCCAAGGGGTACATGATTTATGCCACGGATGGCACTTTGCCTATCCTACATTTCCCCCCTAACTCACATGTAACTCCATCCACATTGTTGGGAAGAGCTAACAGATGCCACTATGAGGGCCACTCCTTCTCAGTGAATACCACTGCATAAAATACTGCCTTGAGGGTTTTCTCCCTCTCATGCAGAGTAACTAGGAACTCAATTTGTCTTTATGAACCTCTTGCATAAGATAATCACTGTCAGAATCCAACTCTTCTTCATCCACTGATGGTTCTTCAGCCAGACGTTTCACGCCCCGCTGCTGTGAAATGGCCAGCGCGTATTTGATGTTGTAGATGTTCCATTCACAGCTGTAAAAATAAACAGGAACATGTCAGAAAAAAGACTGCATTCCCCTCCAAAAGAAAAAAAAGCACCTCTAGAAGAAGAAACATGCTATCATCCCCCAAATTACTCCAAGTTTTTGATTTAAAAGTTTAAATGTAACAACACGTACAGTTTTGAAACATCTTCGAAATGCCGCTGGATGCTTTTCTGGAGGAACTGAATCATAGGGAGCAGCTTCACTGACCTGGAATGGAGAGAACACACCATTTGCAGTGCAATTCGTTTTTACATATGGAAATCCTTTCTACAGTCTCAAGATTTTAACAAGCATACATGTTAACTTTTCAAAACAAACTTTTAAAGACATACTAAATAAATAAAAGCTTTTTCCTTTTGACTCTTCCCTCAATAAGGTCAGAGTACTCAACACTAGTAATATAATGTAATAATACAAGTAATACTCAATACAAGTAATGTCAGAAATATCTTTTTCTAATGTCAAACTGTGGCTTGAAGAACTAATTCTGCTTGCTGGTAGCAATGAGAGTTCCTTCCCAGTACTACAATACTTTCTGTACAAAGAAGAGTTTGTTTTAAATTGTCCTCTTCTACTTGAACAGCAACAAAAGAAGAACCATTCTTCCAATCATTCCAGTAACTAAAACATTAATACCAACGTTGAAGCAAGGAAAGAGTTACACAGTGCACTGGTGTTTAACCTCCAGGACTCCTTCTCATATTATCTCTCACTTAGCCCATTTTAAATTTCTAAATTTGCCTTATTTTTTTCCTCAATGCCTATAAATTCTATGCTATGTGTGGGGTGAATATAATTCACAGACAAGGCCCAAGCAGTTGTAAGGAACTATAAAGAAAGGGTGCATACTAATAGTTAAGAGTTCATAGTATAATCACAAGTTTACATATATATATATAAAAATGCACTCAGTACCTGCAAATTACCTTTCAGTGACATTTAAGATGCATCACTGTTTAAAAAACTCAATTGTCAAACCCACTATCACTCTTGAAATCTTTATGCATTTATAGGCTAAGGAAGCTATGTGAAGTCTTATTTATCAGATTTGAAAATGTTTTTGTAGTATCTCTTCACAAATCCAATAATTTATTCCAATTCTACCATACACACTTGTTAGAATCACAGAATCATTTAGGTTGAAAAAGATCTTTAGGATCGAGTTCAAATCATCACTTTTACCACTAGTAAAGAAGTTGTAAAAATTAAATAATTCTAATTGCTGTATGTGCATTATCTAGAATGTCAGTAGATGTTAAGTAAAAACTGACAGGTTTTAATTTTAATTTTAAAATGCTTGTGAGCATTTAGACTTTCACAAGATCTCACCTTGTTTTCAGTTTCTGTCCATGCAGCATGAGCAACTTATGAGCCCAAATAAGATAGAACTCCAAGTGACATGAGATCTCAAATGCAGAGGCCAGGAACTCCAATAATTTCTCCACATACAGGTCTGGGAGCGATGAGCAGATAACATCAACTGTGCAAAAAGGGAAAAAAAGCCCATAGACTTCAACAGAGTTGAATTACTATTTGGATCATCCCTTTTAGTCTCCAGCTACAGCAAGAAGTCCTTAGCTTTGAACATTACACCTCTCTATCTAAGAGTCCTTTACACCTCAACTTATTTTGGCTTACACATCTCTGCTTACAGCTAGCTCAGCCCAATTCCATGGAAAATCCACTCACCTTCACTGCTAGGAACAGCCTCGATGACCTCCTGAATTAATTTCTTTTCATTCAGCTTGAAGGCCATGATGATGGCCATTGTGTACTCCTTCCGGCGCAGTGTTTTGTGTATGTTGCTGGGTGTGACATCAATATCCAGCTCAAAAGGATCAAAAATCAATCCAGAGTCCAGAGAATAGATCAGAAGACCTTCTGTGGTGGTGGCTGCCCAGCTTCGTCCTAGAAGAGAAGTAACAATATTTAACAACAAAGCTGAGTTTTCTAGAATGGAAGCAGAAGAGTAATGATGAACAGATCACTCATTTGTTTGCAAGAAATGGGTAAGTTTAAAAGATGCATCTTTGATGGACCTGTCAGCAATGACAATGCTTGTAAAAAACACCAGTTCAAAGTGAACATACACTTAACTCTCCTAATTACCCACTGCACAGAAAACCAGGCTCTGAACCTAGCAGCACTACGTTACATCTGCAAAGATCTCCAAGGCATTTGCACTTCATTATTACTCCTCCAAGGCTCTGGTCTTTTGCTTGTTTAATAAGGAATGCAAAAATCCTAAATTAATTGTCAATACTCACCTGTAGGAGAGAATCGCACACAAGTCACTCTTATTTCAGGTTTAAAGTGTCGGTAACTCATGTCACCTAAAAGAGAAGTTTAGAAGTGATTTAATATGTTCACCAAAGGTTCACAGTCTAGTTATCAACTCTAACTATGATGTAACCTTTAAATAATGCAGAACAGGGCAAAAACTGGCAGAATTAAAGACTGGATAAGGCACAGCCCACACCTGAGATATCATCCTACAGCTCAAGCGGTGAGACTGAATTTTGCTCTTTGAAAATTAAATGAGGACTGCTGGGTTCCTTATCCAGGAGATCCTGCATCTCCTGTTTCCTGTTGCTTCTACTATGCAAAAGGATCAGCTGAACACTTGTGTGACAGATCCTTGTGTGTAACACCCCGGTAATTCTAATGTTAAAACTGAGCTCCACAAATCAAACCCTTCCTATCCATGTCAAAGATTTTGGTCCACATAAAACTAGCAACAAGAGAGCAAAGCCAAAGCCATACCTCTCTTTACTCCAGGAAGGGGAATTGCAACACCCTCGTCACCTCCACCCCCTTCATCAATCAGAGCCAAGCTGCCAAATTCAGTCATTTTTCTCCGATCTAAGTATTCCTAGAAAAACATACAGTTTCCATTCAAAGCACTGAATCTCTTCTCAAACAGTTCAAGCCAGTTTAGAGTGTGGTTTCACACTACGACAATGTTGTTCTACTCCAGAGATGCACTGTTTGTTGCCTCAGCTGCAGCTTTGCTCCTTCTGCCCTTCAGGCTCCATAACTGCACTGGGCTAATGGAAGGGCTGTGTGGCCACATAGCTGTGCAAGTGAGATTTTAGGGACCTCCCTGCCCCCCCATTTTTAAAACATCCATCCCTTCCAGGGTTTTCAGCTGATATCTTTTTAAGCCACGTGCTGAGCTGTGACAGCACAACTGAGGGCAGCAGAGAACCAAAGTCTGCTTCGCAAAGCGCTGTGGTCTAACAAGAATACTTGGAAGCACAGCCCCTGGAACAACCATCACTCTTCCAGGTAAGGGGATGTTGAAAAGGTTTACTGGAATTATTTTCCATCTGATGATTTTCATCACTTCCTTTACTTTTGAAGGAATTTAATTTTGCATTTGGCAATATTCAGAAACAGAGTTTATAAAGGTCAGTGATGTTGTTCTGTCTCCATAATAAAATCCTTCATTTCTTTGCTAACACAAACAACTGACATCCAGGGAGTTAGTTTAGTACAAAGTGTTGAGAATTTAAATTTTCATTACAGTTTTAAGTTTAGTGCCAATTAACTTAGTATGTTTGAGAGTTCTGCTCATTCAATACAAACACACTACAGTTTGGCAAAACTGTAGCTAGCTGACTGTCAGGAATTAGTTCTGTTTTCTGAAAAATATTTCCTTATCCCTCTCCTCCACACAACCAAGAAAATGAACCCCTGCTTAACAAAACACTCATGAATAACACTTAATGAGATGTTATACCAAAACCAAAGTCTCGTGGGGGTGGAGGAATGAAAAAAAAAAAAAAAAAAAAGACTTGAGTGCTCACATACCTCCATTGCATCTAAAGAATGGTTGCATGAGATTTCAAATTTTTTCATAAGAATCTGTTCCTTGACATTATATATACAGACAAACTTTGACAATCCACCTGCCAGAATAGACTGACCATCTGCTGAGTAACATAGAGTAGTAAAAGACCTGGTAAAGAAAAAGAGAAAGGAGTTAAGTTCGCTGTCACATCTGCACTAAAAGACACAATACAGTGTGTAGACACAAAATAACCATTCCATGTAAAAGTGGAGGTCTTCACTGGTACAATATGCACTTAACATACAAAATCATTTAGCACAAACAAGTCTTTGGTGCTTTACTATGAATCACAAAGAATTTAGAACTACAGCTTAAGTACTTTCGTTCTGCTGATTCTGGGTCCCAGCTCAGTGAATGAGCTCTCAACTACACCTTACACAACATTAAAGATGGTCAGAGGAGCTAAAGAAAAACCAATGTTATGGTTAAAGAATGTTATGGTGTTGATAGTTCATCACCAAAAAAAATACTTTTTTTTCCTTTTCACAAAGTCATTGTTCCCTTTTTTAATTTTGAGTGGGAGCAATACGGAAAAAAACAAAGAAAAAAGAGCAGAACGAAACATGACTTTTACATTATTCTTTTGGACAGCACATGAATTCAACTTGCCTTTAAACATCACTTCACATGCACAGCAACATGTATAAACCCCACACTGTATTAACATTTTTTTTAAAATGCAATAGTATCTGCACACTAATAGTTACATACTGGTACTTCTGCAACAAGGTATTCACTTAAAAACCTATCACATAGCAAATGAACAACCTGTCATGAGAAGTTTGATATTTTGCTGGGAATCCAACTGATAAAAAAAAAATACACATGCTCAAAATCATGCTGAGCAGCGGATGAACACAGCAAAAGGCAAAAAGGAGACATCCAGATGTCAAGTCAGGCAGTGTTTTAAAATCCAACATCAGATTTAAAATATCTGAAAAGCAGATACACTCTGAAATCTTCACGTAGAAAACAAACAGAAAGAAACAATTCAGAAGGAACCCAGTGTGGCACCCTCTTTTCACTGCAACCCCATGTACATACTTGCCCTTGGCTGCCTGCTTGGCAGTTATTTTATCAAGCTCCTTCCTCCCCATCTGAAGATCGTGCCTTCCCTCAATGGAGCCAGTCTGCACTGCATTTTCATGATCCCAAAATGTTATCTGTCCATTCAAAGCAGCAACTGCCAGCTCCTTGCCATCAGGACGGAAAGCAATGACGAGAACTGCAAAGAATTTAATCAACAGTTAAAAATGCAGTCAGATGTTTTTCTAAGAAAATACCCTAAATTTTTCTAGGATCTTACCTCAACTACCAGAAAAAGCTTAACAGTAACAAGTATGACTTTACTTTTTTCACCGAACATACAAATGTTTAGCTGATTATAAAGCCAGAGCTAGTATTAAAATATTTATTGCACTGTTAACAAAGTACTATAGTGAGGTATCTCAACTTTTGGTTTTTATAATCAAGAATGAGTCTGTCTGTACTTGACAAGTTCTGTTGTTCATTACTGGAATATTTTAGATAACATTTTTATATTTGATAGAAGATGCAAAATGAAATAAAGATTACCATCTGAATTCATTATTAGTGTCTCCTTAGTTCTCCAGCTGTCTAACATATCCCATAACTTGACTGTTTTATCCCAAGAGGCACTGGCTAGAAGACACTTCATTGGGTTAAAGGACAAACTGCTGATGGGACCCTCATGGCCTGCTAAGACCTAGTAAGAGAATAAAAGGCAACATTTGAAAGGTGAAAGAAACTGAAATTCATGTAGTCTGTATTCAGTAAACTCTATTACAGCCATTAAACCACGCCTAACTTGTCAACACATGCTTGAGATCACTTTTGGACATGTGGCATGATACACACCAGTGATCCTAAACTTTTTATTTTCACAATACAGACACTGTATTTTCACTATATAGATATCTACAACTACTATGCACAAGTAGCCTCTTTAGAGACCAAGACTTAGGAATGCAGTGTGCTATTTCAACCCCTCTTATCAGAACAATCAGAACAACTGTGAAAAAGCAAATCATTGCTCTGAGAATTCATATCCCCTGCAGTTGAAAACACTTCAGAAAAAACACTAATAAAAACTGTGAGTAAGAGTAACACGGATTTTTATGCCATGGAGCTCCTACTGCTCTCAAAAGAAATCAAGGAAAGAAACTGAACCCAAAACTCTGGAGATCCTATCAAGTATATACTGAGTTATTATAGTGATCTGTATTCAATGGCTGTGCCAAATTAAATACATGAACTGCTGAGCTCTTCTACTCGTTGAAGATGTACAATAATGCTTAAGAACTGAAACAAAAAAAACCTTCTCAAAAAAAAAATAGCACCCCTGCTCTGCTCCAGCAAAACCCTCCATGAAATCTGTATTGGTCTTAATACAGAACCTACAATTTCTCCTGCAGATAATATGTAGAAAAGAACATCTTTGAGCAACTACTGGAGGGAAAGATTCTTATGCCCACTTTTTAGCTCAGCAATACTGGTGTTACCTTACCAGCTAGAAAGAGCTCATTACTCAAAAATTCTAAAAACTATTTCACAGACAAATTCAAGGTAGTCTCCATGCAATAAATAAAAAAAACACGCTGAGAGAAACAAAGTGCAGCTCCAGTTTTTGAATGTAACAAAACCACTTCATGTTGTATTGCAACCCTCCGATTAATCCCAAATTGATACTGAGTTAAATTCAAGCCCTCCAACATTGCAGGTCCTTACATCCAGCAGCCTCCCACTCTGCATTGACCAGATGAATATTTCAAAGGAATCCTGGGAACCAGCTGACACAATCTCCCCACTGGAGTCCACAGCCAAACAAGAGAACTGACTTGGTCGTGGAGATGTGAAGGTGCGGAAATTGCGGTACCTGTTGTAGGTGTGAAAATAAATCATGAGAACACTTTAGGCAGATTTAAAGGTATGTTTTACAAACTTATTTAGAGTAGGATTTCATTTTATTTGTAAAGTCTTTCAAGCTATCTACAGAAAAAATATTCTGTGTATAAAATTAGATGTGATGCCTCAGCACGATTCCAAGATTTGAAGAAGTATTAAAAACTCTGCAGAAATAGGAGCCAAAAATAATCAAACAGAAGAGCTCTCTTCTCTTAAATAGTGTATGTCTATTTTTGAGAAAATATGGGCTTGCTTACACATCCAACTCTGCGCACAGTTGTATTATAACAGCTCAACTATGGCAGGTGTTCAGTTAGTTAAGTGCCTTCTCCCTGTTTGAGTAGAGCCAGACAATGATCCTACTGGATTTCCAGCTCCCCTGAGCAAAGTTCTTCCAGAATTTTCTTTACAGAAACTGGATGGAGCGACAGGATTCCTAATTACCATCTAAATTTAAATCAAAGGCTGAACCAAAACTCAACAAGGCAGTACACACATCAAACAAGCAATTAGCAGTTTGCTGTATTTTGGGGGGGGGGGAGGTGAAAGCTGAAGACTAAATGAGACACAAAAGCTTTTATGAAGAGTTACCTGTGCAGATCAAAGGCACGCACTGTTCCATCAAGGGAAGCACTCAAAACCACATAACCAGTGGAAGTAAAAGTTACAGCAGTTACACCACTGGTGTGTTCTGTAAATGTGACAAAGCAAAAGCTGCTTGAAGTGTTCCACACTTTCACCTGCAAGAGAGACAAGGAAAGACTTCTTAGAATCTCCATCATCGGTTCAGAGAGACAATTAGGGTAAGGCAGCAGAAGAGCAAAGAAAAACTAGTTCTAGAACTCTGCAATAGCATAAAAAACTTTCAATATTAGCAGTAAGGAATTCTGTGGAAGTGAAGTAAACAGGTCACAGTTTAACTTTAAACTGCTAAAGACACATTTGCTACATGAAAATCTAAGACGAGATAGACAAAAAAAGAACTGAAACAAAGTTAGTTTTCAAGGAGAGCTGTAACACTTGGTGAGCATCCTGAACTTCCAAGCTTTGTGCTGCCATGGATAAGACAAGTGTCAAATTCAAAACCAACTGTGAAGCCATCACAGAAGTTACAACTGAGATGATATTTCAGTTGGGCTTTCTCCCTGAACAAAAACATTATGTATTTAGCTTTCTGCAGATTGAGACTTCTGGGGTTTGGCCAGTTTTGAACCCGAATGGGAGAACCCATGAAGTGACAGATCTTTTTCTGATGCTCAGAAAGTATGGACTGGAAATCAGCTGCTATTGTCATTCCATTTAAGTGCCAAGACACTGTGAGATTGCTCTACAAAATATCTTTAAAAAAAATAAAAAAGTACCTGTACTCATAGTATGTCATTTCACTTCAAGTCACCAGGAGAAAGTAATTTTTTTTTAACAAGGTGCTGCAACGGTGCATTTAAAAAGTTGCACTTAAATAATTTGAAATTAATTTCAAATCACAAACAATTAAGAGGGCATGAATTGGGGTGACTGAAGTTCATTCAACCCAAAGTATCATGGAACCACCATGAGTATACATGAATCAACATCTGATGAATTAGACATTTTGGTGTTTATGGTGAGTGGATCTGTAATGATTAAAAAAATCATCTGCTAAAAAAGCATAAGTGATACAATTTGCTGACACTAGTAATAATAAATCAAAATATACATGCTCTAGAAAGAAAAACAAAAACATTTAAGAAGTGATGATGGAAAATCATTATATTAAGAAAAGTATGTATCAATTACAGTAATAGAGCTTTTGACACAAAAAGGAAAGTCAAGCTGCTTACTATGTTATTAACACTTCAGTTCATATTCCAGCAATACTTCCCCACTTACTTTCCCATCCTCCCCTCCAGTCACTATGTACTGTCCATCTGGAGAATATGCCAAGGAAACCATGCTGTTGAAATGTCCCTGTTGCTTCAGCACATAGGATTCACTTTGCCATTCCCACACCAGGAGCTGACCCAAACCTGTAAGAACAGCAGAAGGATTGACCAGAATTAGGAATACAATGACCCTGCAAATGCAAGTCACAAAACACACAATTGCAAGCAATGTAAAATAAAACCCCAAAAGACTGATGCAGACAGGTTGCCCTCTGCATTTTTCAATCCTAATAAAAGCCCTTTCTCTATTATAACTTCAAGGCAACTTTCCTCAGCAACCAGGAGCTGCTACTTGGATTAATGTTCTCAATACTACAGCAGCAATGCTATCAACCAGCTGATAAATGAGTTGAAAAGAAAAGTAGGGCTGCATAAAAAGAGTATGGTCTTGGTTTCCATGCAAATCATTATGGACTGGGTGGGAACATTGGAACATCCAGGCAGGTTTGTGGTATGGGATGTGCAGCAAGTGGCAAAGAAACGAATGAAAGTATATTATAAACTACAAGGGATATGGGCTTTACCCTAACTCTGCTAGGGTTTTCATATATGAAACATGTATTTTTTCCTTCATCAACAAAATATTTTCCTGAATCACAAGAGTTCTGTGAGGAGAGACTGATTAGGGATACTTGTTTTACTCTAACTAGATAAAGAACATAAATTATTAACAAAACTTTAACATTTGGAGTCAAGATGAGTAAGAGGAATTTGGGCTTGCACACCCACCATATTCCTCATTTTTCCATGAACAGAGACCCCAAAAAATTTGACAAACCTGAACATCCAAAGGCAATCCAGTCCCCAGTGCAGTTGATGGAAATAGAAGCTATCCTTTGGTCTGAAATACTGAAGTACAAGAAATACCCAGTAAACACACTTGTGTTTTCACATCTTGTGCAATAAAACTTCAAGTCTAATGTTTATTATCTCTCTTCAAGCAAGTTGTTTGATTGCTTTACTGAACTTCTGTACCACTGTAACATCAAAAGCCTCATACAAATTCTTTTTTTTTTTTTTTTTGTTATACTCAAAACCACCAAACAGACATTACTGCCTTATTTGGAATGAAGACAGAGTATCTGCATCCCAAAGATGTGCTTGCCAGCACAGAGCACAACTCCCCACATACAAGAAAAAAAAGGTTTTTTGGACATGGAAATTCTTTAGGTGGCATCCTACAGCTATGGAAAAGAATTATGATTTTATTTTTCAACTTAAGGACAATTTACAGAAAATTTTACACATGCAGAACTTTTTTTTCTCAGCTACTGTTTTCTACAGAGAAACTGAAAACATGAATGTCCACATGGTTGAAGAAATCTTCAGCCAGTAAGCAGAAAATTCTGAGCAGTTTTCTCATTCAGACCTCGCTTTTCCATAATGACCTATGGAATGGAGTTATATGATATTAATCACATAAATTTACAATTCTGCCTTTCCAGACGTAACAGTACTAAATAGATGCTCATGTTTTAAGATTTTTGTGCTGTGTTTATTCATCCTTCACTACTGAACATGGTGTGTCCTCAGTCAAACAAACAAGAAATTCCCCCAAAAACCATACACCCCTCACCCCAAATCAAACTAGAAACAGTGACGACCCCACACCTCACCTCAAGGAGTGGATCAGATTGAAATCTGGAAGCTCGTGGAGGTGAAAGATTCCAGAGGCAAAACCAGTGACTAAAAGGTGTGTTTTCTTGTGATAGGCTGCAGCTGTCAGGTTATTAAAATCTCCCTCCTTATTGAAAAAATATCTGACATCAAAGAAATAAGAAAGTAGCAAGGTGAATGCAAAAGAAAATTATGCTGTTAGAGCTGCCAAATATTTTGATCAAGGCCTCCTATAATAAAGGTGAAAAGCAGGAGTTGCAGAAATTGCTAAATATATGCACTTTATAAAATAAACTTAAAAAATATGTACTTTACAAAGCTAGTGAAAGCTAATTCTCTTCTTTTCTCAATGTTCACAGTTGATACAGCAATCTGATAATCAGAAGTGACACCTCATCAAATGCAATGGAGGGAACTAAAAGTTAACCCTAAAGGAACTGTCCTTTTGATCATCTAATGCCCATATGGATGGTTGCCATGAACCCACTGGTCATCCTTCTGTATGTGAGTCCTCTTACGTAGTATACTTCAAATTCCTTCAGTCTGGAAGTTCACTAAGGCTAACTCAAACCTGGATTGGGGTAGGATACTTCCTTTATACCTCCTTCACAGTCGGGGAGACTGAGAACACTAAAGTTTATCAAATGTTGCTGTCACCCCCTGAAGTCAAGCAATCCCTTCTTGCAAGAAATCAAAGCCTCTAGACTTGGAGGGTACTGTAATAAAGATCTCACTACACTTCTTGAGTTTCAAACAATAACAGTACACTACATGTCAGTATTTCTTATATTATTAAAATTACACTTGTTGTTCTGAAGGTGGAAGGTATTGCCCTTCATATAATCAAGATAAGACAAACAGGTGTTCTACCAGAACTATTTAGAATGGGACCTACAGTAAATGTGTAAATCCTGGGCAGTTTTATTCTGCTTTGAACGAGTGATAACAGCTGAAAAAAAAGCCCTATATAGTAAATCCCCATGACATATGTGACTGTGGAAAACTGGAAACCACTTACTTTGCGACACGTGAATATTTAACCTTATTTCTAGTCTCCTGTTCACTTGGATTGGCTTTTCCGTGGATTTCTTCACCCTTTGGCTCTTCAAGCAACTCTTCATCATTTTGTCCTGCATCCTCTTCCTTAGCTGCATCTTTTGGGGGCATGGGCTTCAAGCCATCGAGCTCTGTGTCACACTGCCACACACAGAGAGCTGCATCCTGGCTAATTGTGTACAGCTAGAACACAAACACATGATTATTGTCCAACACCTCAGCTTTGTGCTCTACTGTTAATACAGACTTGCAGAAGGGTTAGTAAGTGTGCACTCTCTTGTTAGGATAACACATTACTTAGTCCTCTTAGAATCTGAGCTGTTTTGATCTGGAAATTTCACTTCTCCTGAGAACCGGTGATTTACTTTACGCGTTCTCAAGAATTTTTTGCAAGGACCAAAGGTAATTTGATTACCAGGTAACATTACAGCTAAATAATTTTTTCATGTTTAAAACTGTAATATTTTAGGGGAGCAATTTTCAATAGCTTACTCACATTCTAAAGTTTATTTTTTTAAATATCCATGGAACTGTAAACTCCCAATCACAGCCCACGAGTCAAGAGACATATTGCTCATGCACTTTCTAAATTCTGAGATATTGTCAAAATAGTCATCTACAGGTAAGACTGTGCTTCAACTATTTAAATATTAAAATTTAAGAATGTTGTGTGATTATACATACATCTAGACTGTTCTCTTCAAAAAAGCAGGCTACAATTACATCCTTATGCCCTCCAAGTGAGTAGTAGATCAAGTTTGCCCATCGCTCTGCTCCAAACACCCACGTAGACATGTCCTTGCTTCCTACTGCAAAACATCTAAAAAAAAATAAATAAAAAAGGCAGTTTGAATTAGAACACTGGTTTGAAAAACTTTCCACTGGGTGGTGAATGTTCTGAGCACAAAGACACCAGTCACCACTTCAAAAGTAATTTTACACACAACAGAGTTGTAAACTGAGGTTGGCGACTGCAGCAAAAGTAGAAGGGGTTAAATACATTCAAAATGTCAACCATGCTCACATTCCTAAGATACATTCCTTTCATGGATTACTAGGCAAGAATCCCTTGTAAATCCCCAATACATGCATATTTTATACTTTCTAGTCTGCCTAATTATATTTTTTAATTCAAGACAGTTTTTAAAGTTGGTACAATACTTAATAGGAAAGAAAATAGATTATAACATGCATACAAATATTAATAACATGTGCAGGTAGACAGTGCTTTAGTTTAACAACTCACTTGGAATCATCAGTCCAGTCAATACAAGTTGTTTCATCGTATGGACCATAGTAGGTTTTGTCCAGAACAAATGCATTGAATTCTCGTTTCTTCCCAGGAGCATGGTACAGGTAAGCAAGGTTGTCTTTTGTAATCACAAATTTCCTGTCATATGTGGAGGGGAAGGGGGAAGCATAATTGCACACAAAGCTGTTAAATCAAATGAACTGTTCAGTACAGACTGCAACACTACGAAATAAAATGTTAAAAAGGCTCCTGCACTATTGAAACAATAAAAAGGGATTGTTTCTGGATGAAAAATATTTTCAGATTGATATTATCCCCCAGCTTATGCACTATAAAAAGGAAAACCTTCAGTAAAAATCACTTAAGGCGAGTAGTCAAATATTTATTCTCCAATTCTCATAAAAGAAGGAAAAATTCAAACACTCAAACTAGTATATTCTATTTCAACCTCTCTTCACCTCCAAATGTTGGCCACTTCCAGAAACAAAAAACATGAGCACCCACACCTGTTACATATATCCTCTGATATGATCCTCTTGACAGCATAATTCCCCAAGGTGGAACTGTGATTCCAACTTTGAAGCAAAACCTCATTCAAGATCCCTCTAAGTCAATCCCAGTGAGGAATGTTGCTGAAGGGGGAGCTTCACACTTTTTCCTCTCACCTTTCTGATGCTTCTAACATTCATGTCACCACAATTTGGACCCATGACCACACAGTTAAAAGATAAAGGGTGTGAAAAGAAACACCAAATACAGAGAACTGCCTCTTCCAGTAGTGCAGTTGTCTTAGACCAACCCAAGTCAGCACTGAAAATGCAACCCCACAACTGCCAGCTGATTGTCCCCACTGTGGGCTCTTTCACCTCACCTACAATATAAAATGCAGTAAAGACTCACAGCAAATCTGTGTTTCTAAAAGTCCCAACACAAACAACATCTGTGACAGGCAACACTCCTCCAGTACCTGTTTCCAGGGCTTTGCTTTTCCTCTTTTCTTCCCCTCTCAACTTTGCAAATAAAATCTACCTTACACTGATTAATAAGTATCACCCCCACAATGTCTTCATAATCTCAACTAGTTTATGGGGTAATTTCTGCTGTTTTATTCTAAAGAAGCATGCACTCTTTACTTACTTGCCATCAGGGGAGAACTTGACACTGTGAACTGGCTTGTGAAAATAAAACTGATGTATCACACATTTACCAATCAAACTGACAAGCAAGGCAGCTCCCTCTGTAAGGGCAGAAAAAGAAGGGTCATGAAAATAACCAAGTTCCCAAAGAAAACATACTCCTAGCAAGGTTAGTTTCTTTCCTTAAAGGGGAGGGGGTAAAGTACCTCCTCAGAAATTTTTCAAGACAGTGTGCTTAGTATTACTAAGAAGAAAAATACAAAACTATCATACATTACCTAAATTCTGTAAAAAGTTCTTTTTAAGCTCAGTAAATAAAGAACTCTTCCCCAAAAGTTCCAACATAACGTTTAAAGCAGAGCACTTCTAACCTGTGCTAAGGTTGAATACCTAGCAACACAGATTTTCCCCTCTCAAGGCTGAATTTTTACTGCATTTTCTTATAAAACAAATGTCTCCTTTGTGAAAGTACCTTCATCAATCAGAATGGCAAGAGTTCCATCTGGAGAGAGCCCCACACACACAATATTAAGCCGTGTAGCCAAAGGAAATGTCTCACACTTGTTACTACAAAAAAAAAAAAGATAAAACGGTAAATTTGCGACAAGGATGTAGAAAGAACAGTCAGAAAGAACATCTCTATCAGTGAAATATGGTCTGATACCTATGATAAAGCTACAGAATCAACTCAGATGTAAAACTTTCATTAGCTGTCAAAATTCCACGAAAACTGACTATATGGTTGTTCTGTGCAGGACCAGGAGTTGGACTCAGTGATCCTCAGGGCTCCCTTCCAACTCAGGATATTCTATCTCAGGATTCTGTGTAAGACACAGGCTGCTGACTGGAATACCGGCATAAAGAGAATAAATCCCAACCCCGGCACACAGGAAAGGCCGATGACGGTCTAAGCTTTGCCGTATACAAGAGAGAGAGCAAAACCAGAAGCACATAAGGAAAGCACACCACTAAATCCAACGCAAATTGTTTTTTTCCCCTCTTTGCTTCTAAAACACACCTTTACATGCTTCTTACGCTATTCTCCCCACGCAACACCCCGACAGGTATTCCACTAGGCACATAACCTTTTAACGCCAAGCCGGGATATTCTGGAAGGCCGAGCATCCCGGAGAGCCTCAGCCCCACCACAGAAGGATGCGGAGCCGGCGGTGCGGGAGCATCATGGATAAGGCGGCCTCGGGTCGGGCTCCACAACCTCCTCAGGGCTTTATTCCCCCCGAAATCCCGGTGCTGGCCCTTCCCCGCCCCTCCCAGCCCTGTCGGAGGGGGCTGAGGGGGAGAGAAGCGGTGGGGGCTGGTGGGGGGGGGGTCACTCACTTCTTGAGGTCGAAGAGGGAGACCCTGTTGCCGACGGGGCTGAGGAGGGAGTTTCCATCGCGGGTGAAGCTGAGGTTCCCGCGGCGGTACACGGTGCCCAGCAGGCCGGAGAACTGCGCGGGGAGGAAGGGGAAGAGTGAGCGGGGCGGGGGAGAAGGGGAGCGGGGAGGGAGGGGGAGCAGAGGGGAAGGGGAGCGGGGGGGAAGGGGAAGGGTGAACGGGGCAGGGGAGAAGGGGAGGAGGGGAGAAGGGGAACAGGGAGGAAGGGGAACAGGGGGGAAGGGAAGCAGGGGCTGCCGAACCGCGGCCGCACTCACCCGGTAGGCGAAGCGCATGGCGGACACACGTGTGGAAGCAGCACCGAGGCCGCGGAACCGCGGCCGGGAAGGGGCGGGAGGAGGGATCGGGGATCCCGCACATGCGCCCGGGGAGGCGGCGGGGGCGGCCCGGGAAGGGGAAGTAGGAGAAGGTGTGAGGGGGATCACATCCTGCGGGTCAGGATTAAACCCTGTCGGTGTCCCTGTGGAAGGGACCACAGCGGGTCGTCTGGTCTCACTTCCCTGCTCAAGGGACACGGCACAGGATTGTGTCCGGATGGCTCTGGAGTGTCTCCAGTGAGGGAGACTCCACACCCTCCCTGGGCAGCCTGTTCCAGTGCTCGGTCGCTGCACAGGAACGGAGTTCTTCCTCACGTTTAAGTGGAAATTCCTGTGCATTAGTTTCTGCCCATTGCCCTGAGATATTGCCTGTTCTTCTCTAGGTTGGTGTGATAAACAAAGTCTCGAGTTTCTATAAGTTTCGAGTAATAATTTATTATATGGTAAGAGCAGGTAGCCGGCTGGGTGACAGAAATGGGACCAGTTTCCCAAATCTGCACACCCTTACTACAGGGTACATTTAGTATTTATCTTAGCTACTTCATGCATATTAATTATATCATATACATATACATTCTACAGGGTTTTGCTAAGTATTTAATATATGGGGTTTCTTACAGCTAAAGCTAAAAGGGTTATCTCTACAACCAGTCATAATTCATGCATTCTTGGATTTAAAGTTCTACTATATTTTATTCTTAGGACAGTAAGGAGGTTTTAGGCCTCTTGACCTTGTAAGGGTCTGTTTTATTTCTTTATGGAGGTGTAATTAAGTTTTACAATCCGTTTGTTTTATTTTGATGTAATCACCCATTTGTTTCACGAATCACAATTATTTATATATCACAGCTGGCATCCCTGAGAAGATCCATCCTCTGACAGCGTCCCTGTAAATATTTGTGCACGTTAATGAGGTCCCCTCGGTGCCCCCTTCTCCATCCACAGACCGCACCTCTCCCCCCACAGCCGCTCCTGTCCCTCCCCAGGACGGTGTTGCCGGTGTTACGACCCGGCAGGATAACTCTGGCTCTTGTTAATAAATCCCTCGGGGTCACTGCAGGAGCTGGGCCTGTTCAGCCTAGAGAAGAGAAGACTGAGAGGGGATCTCATCAACGCATAAAAACATCAAGGTGGATGTCAGAGGATGGTGCCAGACCCTTTTCAGTGGTGCCCAGGGACAGCACGAGGAGCATCGGCCATTAACTAAAACGCAAGAAGTTCCACGTCAACACGAGGTGGAATGTTTTCCCATTAAGGGTGAAGAGCACCAGAACAGGCTGCCCAGGGTGGGCACGGGTTCTCCCTCTCTTGGAGACATCTTCCAAACCCATGTGGAAGAGTTCCTGTGTCACCTGCTCCAGGGAGGAGTTGGATTGAATTGATGTCCACAGAACAACCTAATAATTCTGTGATTCTCTCACTAGAGTGAAACAACACTGAATAACCGGTGTATAAATGAGGCAAGTTTATTTTAAAGCAAATTAATTGCAGCGGAGAGGAGATGTGTGTACGGTTTGGTTATTTTCTGTAAAAGTATAAAAATACCACAAAGAAAATACATGAGGACAAGAAGGAAAGAGACAGAAAGGTTAAAAGTAGATAGTGAAAAGATATTACCACCCATGGATCCAGCGATGAGACTTGATTGTTGTAATTTCAACATCCCTTGGTCACAGTCTTGATCCTTTGGGTTCCTTGGGTTGTATACATTCAAGTGAGCGTTAGAACACCTAGATCTCTCCCCAGGGAGGAAATTCTTCATGTCTGATGCAATCAGCATTGCAGACACCTTCTTCTTATGGAGAGCTCTTGAAAAGTGTCAAGAGGTGCTTTGGGGTCCTTGGTGGTCTTGATCCCCTTCTCTTGGCTTTGCCCACTCCTTGACCCCAGTTCTGCACCTGCACTGTATGTTGTGTGGTCACCAAGGATGTGAACAGGAAAACTGGCACTGCTGCTCTACCTTCATACAGCCCCACATCCTGTTCTAACTTGCCTGCTTGAATGATCATCTCTGTTTGAGGCATAACAATCCATTAACTCCATACTTCTATAGCTGGGCCCACAGCTCCCAGACGGGACAGGATCCAGGGAGTGAAGTAGGAGCAGGATAATCACTTCCAGTGGGATGTGCCTGTCTGTGTGTTTTGCTGGGGCAGCGGGGCAGACACACAGACAGCCAGGAGCTAACAAGCTTTAAGGATGTAGTAGATCAAAATGCTGATGTATGTCTGTGTATACGTTGCCAACTTGGCAAAGGATTCAAGGTTCATATATCCTATAGCTGAACTATCTTCATTATAATACTAAAAATCACACCCACAGGGTAACAAGACCCTGCCCAGGTAAAGACTCTTTCCCTGAGCATGTATAGAAGTTAGCTGGGAGTACATAACCTGTATGGAAATTACTAACCCTTTGTAATAGAGGGTTACTGACACTGAACTTCTGTGTATAAATAATGGTGCAGAAAGTCCAGAGGGACGTGCTTGATTTGTGGAATACCACAGAGCACCCAGGCTTGTGCAACCTCTGAAATAAATAAATAATCAATGTCTCTCTCCAGGGTGTAATTATTGGCTTGTTGCACACAGGGTCATGAATCTGATTTTTGCAGACAACAGTAGCTTTGGCTAAAATTGGTGAAACAATCACTCCTTCCAACAAAACAGAAGTCAGAGCAGCAGAGAAGTTGATTTCTTTTTAAAACATGTATATTTAGAACTGTAACGCTTACAATTTCATTAAACAATCTTAGTACAATGTGTTTAATCTAACAGTATATTACAGAACAATGTGAAAAATGATTTAATAGCAAACCATGAAAATGGAATTAATAATACCTGCAGTGTCAAAGTCACTAACTTGTTACCTTTTCCAGTCAAGGAATCCCAGCAGTCATTCGCACTAAATGATGCTTTGGGTTTTATCCAGAATAAAATGGTATGATTTCCACAGAGAAAGGGCATTCCTTCACAGAAAGAAGATGCATAATAAGAACATTTTCAGCTAGCAGGTCTACTTTATACATCTATTTAGACTTCTTTTTTTTTTAAATAAAAAATAATAATTAAAAAAAAATTGTTTAGACCAGTGCAGGGTGCCTGTTCATTTTTTCAACTTAATTGCTGTTCTTTTTGGAAAGAGGGTTTGTTTTTTATTTCCCCTTTATAATTTAGCAGAAGCTGAGTTTAGAAAAAAATAATAACAATGAATTTGTCTAACAAGCAGCTCCTCACTTTAGTTTTACTGACAAGTATTTGACATGGGACAGTTTCCTCTGTGGAGTCTGTTGACAACGCACCATTATAGATCTGCAAGTAGAAAAGGTCATTCTCACATTAAATGCACAAGTTTCAGTATCAGAAGCAGGACATCAGAAGTTGTAATTTTTCCAGTCACAGGTGGATTTGCAACATTCACAAAAATTACACTTTTTTTTTTTTTTTACATTTTTTGTATTTACATTTCAGATATAAATAATGAAATTCTTTAAGTTACATGTTTTAACTTTGCTTCACGATTATTCTACATCTGCAAGCTTTCCTATATCAAACCAACCTCTTTCTTTCATCATGAATGCAGAAGTCTGGCCTCTAATCAGTAATAATTACACTAAGCCTTTATGACGAAAGGTTGACTGTTCAAGTATCACATCATACTGAAATTTTTGCCCCAATTTAAAAACTGAGGCAGCACACGAAGCCACTTGGAAATGGTAGTAAAAGAAATTAACCTGGGAACTCAATAAGCCAAATAATTTATTATTAAATTCTATCAATATCTTTCTTTGGTAAGAAATATGCAAGAGGATGACCCAGCCCCCACCCCAAAAAAAAAAAATCATATAATATGTGACATCACAGTGTCTACTCTGTGAAGGAGAAAGCCTCAGAAAATTAAGGAATTTTGTTCAGTTAAGATTGTTTATAGCAGTAGCTCTTCCATGCATCTAAGTATGGAAATGATGGAAGTTTAATATAAAATTGCAATGGCAGGAATTAACAATGATAAAACAAACAAACAAACTAAAACCAAACCAGTAAAGCAACTGTCACACCAGTGAATGTGCTGTTGGATGCTCTGTTATGTTTCTGGCACAAGTGTGGAAAAGCCTGTAAATTATTACATAAAAATTCAAGATTTGGATAATTATCCAACTCTACATTCTAAAATATGTAGGAAGCATGAAACAAATCTCTCAGCTGCCCGACAAAAAAAAAAAAAAAAAATAAAGAAGTGGTCCAAATACTTGGATTTTTTGCTTTTGTTGCCCTGTGTTTTGATGCAGGATGTGACTGAAGGGAGAAAACCCAATAGCTTACACAAAACATACTAAAGTGGCAATATAAACTAGCTGACACAAGCTTCACTGTACATTTAAATTGATACAATTGTCTGGTGCTTCCATGGCCAGTACACGTCGAGTGCCATAGGTCTCCTTAGAGTTAATGTTACAACGAAGACTAAATCAGGTCATTTATCCTTTAAAGTGCTTTCATATCCAGTTTCTAATGGGGTTTTTGTGTTCCTTGTTTTCCATACCGAGTTGTCACGTGACATTGACTTCCAGAACGTGGTCGTCCTTGCTGGGAATGACAAGGATTTGCATTCCCGTGCTGCTGTTGAAGACCTGCCCCGGAGAGAAGGCTTGGAGCCGGGGCATCGGCAAACCCTTGTGCTCCCCGCTGGCTGTGGAATGCAGGCTGCCTCTGCTCCTGATGCTGCTGCTGTCAGCCTGGTCATCCACGTTCTTGTCCACAGACAGGCTGTCATTTTCAATCCAGCTATCTGTTTAAAATAAAAAAAAACCACAGTTTTGTTCTACGGACGGATTAAACAACTTAAAGGATAATTTCAGAGCTCAGGCACAGAGTCAGTTTACCACCTCTTCAGTTACTGAGCATCTCTGCTGAGGTAACAGTCTGTGCACACTTTTAGGCCAGCACCAGATGTAACAGTGAATTATACTGGTTTATAAGGAAAATTTCAGTAGCATTACTTCACATTTGTCACAGGCCAGAAGGGTGCA